AATATGTATATAAATTATAGCCTATGTGTTATTCTGATGTATAAGCTATATTATTGTAATGTTTCATTAAAATCCATTCAGTAGTATTTGCGTGAAAGAGTAACAAACATGCATCCATACATACAAACTTTCGCGTTTATAATATTAGTAAGGATAGTAAGGAAGTAATGATTTTATCCCGTTTGTTTGTGAAAACACTTTGTTTGTGAAAAATACGTAAAATGCAATTGATAATGGTTTAATTTAATAACTTGGGAATTTAGGCAAATGTCAAAAAGTTGTTATTGGTTGACATGGTAATACCGTGACGTTGTTCGCTTTGCAAAAAACTTCAATACGTCGGTGTCGTTGCACAAGAAAAATAATTTAAAAGAGTTATGAATGAGGTAATGAGAAATATTCTCATATCGTTTTTTTGTTAGTGGTCTTTAAGTTATAAATACGCGGCCTTGTTAAAATCGAGGTTAGAATTTCAATATAGCAACGTGTTTACATGTTAGCCGTGCAGTCATTGTTTAAGTTGACATAACTGTAAATGAACGAAGTCAGGTGTTGAAACACAGTCTTCGCTGTTGCACGAATGGGCAGGTCCATCCGGGAAAGTACCACGACCTCACAGAAGATCAGCGTGAAGGGGGAGTATTATACTTCTGCGTTTCGGCTGGTGAATGCGGTAAACGGGTTGCCACATTAATGGTGGCAACGCATCTGCAACCCTACGAGTGTTGCAAATGTGGCGGCGGTTGTAGCTCAGGATCAGGTGAACCGTCAGCTCGCTTGCCACCTCCTCGCATAAAATGGCGTCATTGTATGCATTTACGGAAATTAAGTGTGTACTTTAACTTTGTTCGAAGCAATTTTAGGCTATTCAGCTAAATCGGTGTTTCAGCTAGCGAACGAGTTCAATTTTGTTTATTTTCTTATTACTTGTCTTGATTCGAGAACAGTGTTTCTTTATCACAAGCAGACTTGATTAACGTTCCATCTGATGGCGAGTTGTTATGTAACTACGATGGTGTATAAAGTGCTTTTAATCGGCTTTAATTGTACAACTATCTATCTAAATCTCCTTTACCTTCCTACCTTACAGAATGTTTGTTTATAATATATATGTGTTTCTTTAATATGCAAGCTAGAATTCTATGGCAAAATAGCAAAGCATAGCTTATAATACGTATAGCTTTCTATGGCAAAATCATTCACCACCTTTAAAACCTGTTACAACGGTTACTATTTTATTATAGGAATACGAAGCGGCATCAGAAATTACTTCGAAACGACGGAATTCTGTCCAGTGATGATCTCGCCATCATCACACAGTTTTATTACGCACGTGAAAAATAGAAAACGTACAAAACCTATATAAGAGTCAAATTTTTAAGGAAATGAAAACGAATGCGTAACTCTACCTATTTACGCGAAAACCCTTCTGGAATGTTCCAAATTTATAAGCAATCGATGACTCGTATCACCGTAAACATTTACGCAACAGAAACCGGCAGCACCGCGTCCGAAAACCACACAGCAGTACACAAGCGAAGCGATCCATTGACGAAATCACACTCATTTACATTTAGCTCTTGGCCGGCATATTAAACGATAATAGAGCGTGACTCGTTGCGTTATTTTAGTTGACACAATCAAATAGCTCTGTCCAAACTAATGGGACAACTGCGTAGTTCGTTTAGCTAACCGAACTGTCCCCTTGCCGGCTGCTGAGCGCTGTGTTGGTGGAAAATAACTGCGTGTCCGCTAAAAAAGGATATAGTACATTTTATTAACAAAAAAGTAGTGCATGAGTGTAGTGGAACACTCGGTTGAAACCAAGTTCCTTCGTAGTATATTATTATTGATAAACGCTATTATATTTCCAATAACTAAAAATTTCACCCTTTGTTTGTGAAAAAGACATTAAAAAAGTAAAGTAAAATTCGACACATGTCCCACTGCTGGGAAAAGGCCTCCTCTATACAGAGGGTATTAGGGCATAGTCACGCTTAAGACACTTAAGTGGTGAAAACGAAACTGACACTTAAATTTTTAGGTGTCCCTTACAGTTAGGGATCGATGGTGAAAACGGGCTTATGTACCGTAGAAGCTTCCCCGATCTTTCAATGCAAGGCAATGCCCTTGGAGTATGTTAATTATTATAATATAATATTATTACATCATTCAAAATACATTTACTAAAAATTACGCTAATGCGTTTTTGAAATAGCTTGTAGTTTAAAATCGAACAGTATTCCCTACCCATACATTTTTTACTTATGCACCAATTTTGTGTGCGCAAGCCGCAAATTTAGACGTGATATTGGCATGACGTAATATCTTTTAAGATACTGCGTTATACATGTATGAATACAGCGGCTATTTCGCTTGAATGAATTCATCAGAGAAGGATTCAAGAAAATATTCGTAGTTTTAAATAGCTCGTTGAATTCTTTTATTTGCGATGTTTGACAGTCAAATGTTATCAATTAGGCTACTACAGACGTAATCGAATTAATCGCCAGTTTAAATTGTTAGTTAGTCCAATTTATTAATTACGAAAGTAAAAAAAAAATGTCGTCCCTTAAAGGTTTACCAGTCGGTACTGTGACGATGAACGCTGTAAAGGGTTAAAAACGTCGGAGATTAAAAATTAAAAATAAACGCGATAAATTCGTAACAACTGTTTCATTTATAAGATACATACACAACACCATCCAGTTCGGTAGCTTCGGATATTTATGTACACAATAACTTGTATTGAATCCAACCATATTGTTTTTAAAATAGAGTAATTATCAGGGTTCGGTGGAGTAAAGTGCAAATATCTAAAGAGCGTTGATGTTGTTTTAACCTCGAGGAGTTGCCGAGATTGTAATTGAGACCTAATTGTTTTTGTTTTGATGCTTATATGTCTGTTTTCAACTTGAGCAGAAATAGCAGGCTTATCGTAATGATTCATAATATAAACAAACAATAATCTTTGTTGTTTGTCGAGAATTAATGACATATTTACGATCAGGTATGTTTGTCTTTCTCGATGTGGGCTTTATATAAACTCCCAGTCTTAATTTTACCGATTTAAACTGTATTACAGAACAGTTGTGTGGTTTATCTCCGTAATCCAAGGTTCAATAATATTTAAATTAATATTTGATCACGTGGGAGCTAAACCATAACCTAATTTTTAACTTCCTTACTAATATTATAAACGCGAAACTTTGTATGTATGGATGGATGTTAGTTACTTTTTCACGCAAATACTACTGAATGGATTTTAATGAAACTTTACAATAATATAGCTTGTACATCAGATTAACACATAGGCTATAAATTATATACATATTTTTATGTATGTCTGTCTTTATGTCTGAATGTTACGCCTTCAGCCTATTCTACGCAGACGTAGTCGCGGGCAGTGGCTAGTTGATTCATAAATGATGAAGTACTGAGTTACACATAAAAACCGAATTGAAACCTCCTTTTTTTAAATCGAATGACAAATAACTCTTCGTAACAATACAAACAATTCATAGTTATGGTTTAACTACAGTCAAAACAGTAATATGCACTGTCGATAGAGCCATGGAAGTAAGGTTGCCAACCGTACCATAATATAATGTAACGTATATTTTAGCCTATTGTATATATACTATTTAATATAGAAAAATAATATAGTACGAAATGTACTATTCATTGCTAATGCAATTGTCCCACTTTTTTATATTAAATGTAAACTCGAACATATCTACTGATTTTTGTTAAGTATTTAAAGTGACGCCGGATTTCTCAGCGAAATTTTTTTGGTCTAATAAAAGTTCATTGCTTATATTGCTTATAACATAATATTTGGTGCATACACTTTAGGAGGTTTATTAAATGCAATGATTTTATGATATCTTTTAATTTTGAGAACCGTACCGTACACTCACTTAATGCTTTTGTTTTCAATAATTAATTCATTTACGCTTTGCCCTCATATCTATATTTAGCACTTGTGACTATATTAAGAAATATTTTTCTAATACTCGTCCACCTTGACTAGGTACATTAGTAAAAGAAATAAACAAAATAAAACGCGAATGCCTCGAAAAATAGTTTTTACTCTGTGCGCAAGTGATGTCAAAATCGATCGAACGCCACGATCACGCGGACGGCTTGCGCGCGCTTTGGTGCTGAGGGCTATAAAGATGACCGCATTGCAGTGCAAATGCACTGCATATTGATTGACGAAATGTTCGTTTTATATCTTTCTTTTTTAAATATAAATATAAGTAAAGGGAAAAAGTAGGTTAGGTTTGTAAATTTGTCATAGATGATGATAGTCATTAAATTTGCTACTCAAATTCTGTAACTTTTCCTAAAACATGCAAGGTGCATTGTTTCATATTATGCACTAATACGATTACTAATTTTATAATGGTTATGTGAATAAAACGTTAATATTCTTCCTCTGTATTCTTTTTTTCTAGATAACGATCGTAAAATAACTTAATTAAAATAAAATGCAAGCGAAAAAATATTTTGAGATAATTGAGACACGAAATAAATCTTTATGTGTCGCAACTCAGTATAACTTGTGCGGTAACATTCAATAAGCCTTACAATAAGTTTTAAATTCTACGGTGCTTATGTATGTCTTTCTGCGCAAAGTAACAGCGATAATTGTATTTTCGAATTATTCAGAAACATTGTGAAGTTCAATGCAGATATCTGGAATGGAACCAAGATCAATTCAAAGGTATCCTTGTCACTGAACCTTCACGATCACGAATATTGTATTACCTCAACAGATAACATGCAAAAATCTCATGTAGTAAAAATAATTGTGTGGGTACACAAGTGAATAACGCTAACTATTCCAACATTAGCGTATATTTAATTAAAATCATAGGTACAAAATAAACAACAAGCATTAAAAACTATTTACAGTAAAATTATTTACCGGCACCGTCATATTACATCAGGTGATTAAAAAAGAAAATCTTACAATGGTTTTAAAAAAAGCTTACCTGCAATTCCGCTGAACATTTTGAAAAATTACCACTAAACAGACACTACGAAGTGGATGTTACGCGAGATATTATGCACTACAGAAACTTAGAATTTCAAGTACGCCCTGTTATATAGAATTACGCAGTACGCTCTGAACCGCAATTTACAGTAGTAACCGTTCTACGGAAATAAGGACAACCTTAAAGCTCAATCCGCAAGTGACTATCATAAACACCAATCCTCCAATAGCAAAACGGAACGGCTTTCAGTGTTGCCAAATATAAATTTCATGCAAACACAAAACAAGTTCTTTCGATTTTAATCTGTGACTATATAAACATACGGCTTTATAGAATGAGAATGTCAATAGCAAAAGATTCCATTATTTTCCTTTGTGTTATTCTAAAAAAAATATTTTAAGATAGCCTCTAAATTTTTGTATAATGTTTATAATTCTTGCTCTGGCAGTGCTCTGTTATTTAAAATTATATTATGGGTGAAAAACTGAAATTTTACTATAATTGACGACTCGATGGGCCTAATTGCATCTGCGCCTTGCGCCAGAGTGTGTGGGTTCGATCCCCACTACTGGAAAAATATTTTGTGATGAAAATAATGTTTTTCCAGTGTCCCAGACACTGGAAAAACATTATGTTTATGTTATTTTATGTTTATGTTTATGTTATATGTATTTATGTTACTTACAAAAGAAAAGTATATTTATCAGTAATCTATTACCCAAAGTGTTAATGCTAATTAAACAAATTATAACGTAAGTGACTATAGAACGTTGTGTATAACCAAATAAACGGTATATTAGAACAGAAAAGAACACTAGAAAGATGAAAAAATATATTTATACCAAAATTTGTGATGAAACGCTAAATTGGCAACATTAACGTTATCACGCTTCGAAAAATATAATCTGCTTGTCTGAAATGAATGACGTAAGTCTAGTTTAGAGACTAATAAAACGTTTCGATGCTAGAAATTTTATTTTAGCTGTTAGTAATTCTACTGAGAAAATTCAATAAAGAAAACTAATTTAAATTTGTAATAAACATATCGTGATAAATATTTTTTTTTTGTTTCATTTGAAATGTAAAATCGATTAACTTGTTGACTAAAATGTTTTAAAATAAAACCATATTTGTTTTCTAATTTCAATTCGTAGTATTTTTAGTTGATTTTCAATTTTAGTTTCGTAATATAAATTTAATTTTAACTTTATAATTGAAAGGCATTTGCTTTTTTTACACAAGCAACAACTTCACAAAGCTATTTCACGTTATAGGTATATACTCTGTGATTTACTTTGACATTTGACAGTTCTGCTTCTGACTACTGTTGCATAGCAACCTTCTCATGACAACAAACGAAAAAATAATGATATGTTTTACTTAATGCAAAAAACTTTAATAAACACTCATTTCCATAATTTCACATAACGATGTCAAAGGAGAATAATAATTTGCGACTCTTAGGCTCTCCAGTGAACCTTTCATACAGAAGTAAAAAAAAAGATGACAAAAAAAATGTTCGAAATCGACCGCGATCTGCTCTTCAAAGCTCTTGTTTTACACCGGTAATTATTTGATTGATATATATCGTTATAACGGTTATCAATTCAGTAACATTAAGTAGCCAAAGTAAATGTCAAAGAATATGTTTATAAATTTAAATTTTTAATATCTTTGCACCAAACATTAAAATTTGTAGAAAAAAGAACGAAACTTTTTTTGCTGTTTCTAAAAAGCAATCTCTCGGTAAAACTATATTCGAAATTGTATAACAATGGATGCGATAAAGCATTGCTTCAAATGCTAAAAAACAATTTAGATGAAAGACGTTGAGATTTTCTTCAGTGTGGCAATCACACGTTTAGCTTGGTGGCTAAAGTTTCAGGGCGCGAATACCGAAGACGTGGGTTCGATTATCACAGCCGTGAAAAACTTCGTTTTTTTTTCTACCAATTTTAATAATTATTATACTTATCAACAATGGCCATCACTAAGTACACCATGTAGCTAAGTGTTCCTTCCTACACAATTTGCTTAGTTGAATATATATTAATAAAAAGTTGGCAACAAAGTGAAAAATGGCAACAAGATTAATGGCAAGTACCCTATAGGTGCTTTCTTCCTATAGTGAGTGTGAACAGCCTTAAATGATAAATTGACTTGCTCACTGAAACCTCACTCTTGCCTCGAAGAAACTTCAATTCCGACAAATAACTTATATCAAAATGAAAACCTCATTTTTTTATTGTAAAGATTAATTATAATTGACCTAATTAAAAGCAACAACAATTCAATGTCAGTCTGGTAACAGACAAGACCACATATTTCATATAGATTCTAATAAAAATCCATTCAAATAATTATTGGAATAACATCAAATTTCCTTAGCTTTACATAACATAATAATTATATATATTATTATAACAAAACTATAATGTCAGGCTAAATTATGGGCTACATAATTTGTAACAATAGTACGCAAAGGAGAGATTAAGGTTTTTACAGAGTTATTACTTAACAATCATATAGCACAGAACAATTGAAAGGATGAACTCTTGACTGCTTGTCAAGCACTAGTTGAATGATTATACTTTCATTTAATTGAAACATATTGCTAAATTTCTTGCTGTAATTGATGTTAATGTATCTATTGGTAGGACTACCATGAAAGGTTCAAGCGACCATTTTCTGCTGATACAAAAGAACATGCACCATCTACAAGAAGCTTTCTGAAAACTTTCAGTTCAGATGTTTTACAATCTTATAACAGTAAAGTGACACAATATGATTAAAACATTTTTTTTGTGGTATCCATATTATAATTGACATATTTAATTCAAATTTTCAGATGCTCTGTCTAATGTAAAAGTGGTTCCACCTACGGCCGATTTACTTGGGCATATGAAACCATTCGAAAATAACACTAAACAGGGCAATAGAGAATTGTGCAGTAATGCTTCAGATTATGGTTCAGAGGATACATTCATAAGCTTGGGCACTAAGATTAAGACGAAAGCCCAATTACCACCAAGAAATAAAAATACAAACATAAAAGCGATTAAGTACAGAAACATTGCTAAGAAGGGACGAAAAATTGAGCATCCGACTAATGACGACAAGACAAATCAGAACTATGGCCTAGAAATAACCATTACAGAGCGATCAAGATCTCAATCGCCATGTCGGGAAAAAGATGTCTTCTATCACAGAAGTTCATCACCTTCATTTAAACATAAAACGTATGAATCCTATTTCGTTTCTTTCGATGACGATAACAAAGGTGATCGAGAAAGCCGGTCATCACCAGAGCCTGGTAAGGTATCAATCGATGTTGAAAATGCGATCGGCACTTACTCACGTCGATTAAACTTGACGAAACAACAATTATCGTTAGTCGAAGAAGAATCCACGCAAGATATCGATAGCATTCCATCGAACAACTTGCCAAGCTTGTCACCAGAGACTTCCCTTAATGACAAGCGCTTGACGACAAACAGTACTTACATGCATCGGGAAAATAAAGATTACGCCAGGCACATCGAATCCAGAACATATAGAACATTTTATGATGACTTTAATCATAATAGTGATAATCCATTTCAAACAAACCTCTGCAGTACTGTTATACACACCGATTCTTCGTCTAAAGATTCAGGTTATCCCGATAGTGCCCTGAAAGAAGATGGGTATTTGCAAAACTTTTCCCTCCCGTCAACTACCGCTTTGCTAAAAAAGTCAAACTCTGATAATAAACTGAACCAACCGAAAAGCTTAGACAGTACGTCAACCGTAGGAAATGAAGTTGATCATCATAAAACCTACCCGCTCGGTAAAAAGTGGGCAGAACCTCTTAACCACAGTCGATTGTTGTATAAAGATTTTTTTATGAAGAAAGAAGGACATTTGGCATTACCACCCAACAACTCACCTGAAACTACAAGGATTGACTCATCTATTAAAACTAACGGAGACTGCCCATCTTCTCAATTAGATGTAGAAAGCAAAAATTTGGAATATCCGACATATTTACTCAATAGTACAACAAAAGCATATACAACTAAAGTAATTGAAGATTACAAAAGGGAAATAGAAGCTATAAACAATTTACATGAACTTACACTTAAGGACATAAAGACAGATGCCATTTCGCCAACTCCTCTTAATATTGATATAATGTTCGAACACTCAAATAACCTATTTGAAGACAAACATGATTCTATTGAAAGCTCTCAAAAGAGTTCCGAAGAGAGTGACACTCGGGTCGACGACAAAAATTCATTGCATAATAACAAGACAGATATTTCTAAAGTTACGACAAAAGAACTTATTCAGAACTATTTTAAAGTGAAACACGACTACCCTAAAGGTACAAAAGCTAATATAATAAAAAATCTCAAAAAGTTCGAAAAGAAAATAAATAATCTCAAACCCGATGAAAAATGCTCGAACACTAAATTGGAGCAGAAAAATGGAAAAAGCAACTCGGCAAAACACGTACAGATCAACATTAAGAATCAGTCGCCGAAAAACATTTTTACTACGAAGATCCCACTAAGTGCTAGAATAGAGAGTGTGCAAAATGATAAAGACGTTGACTCCTGGATATCATTAACAGTCCCTTCACCAAGGCCTATAGACGTGAACCATACAGAAGCTAGGGAGGACAGTAAAACAGTATCCCCAACTAGTGACACAAAATCTATAGATGCTGAAAATAGCTCTAAAGACGGAGGAAACCCTTTACCAGCAAGTTCTAACACAAAAGAGGAATCCGCAAAAGTGAAGGACCTAGACGATAAATCAACCGTTCTAGATATATATTCAATGTTAAAAGAAATCGAGAGCTACGGAGATAATCCAGTGACTACAGCAAATTTAGATACAACAACTAAAAAGAACGAGGTTCAAATAGAAAGACCTCCGACGCCCAAGGACAATTTCCTGTACGACCGATTTGTTTCTGTTAAAAGAGTTATAATAGCATATAGTTATAATGCACATCACATCTGATCGATAACTTTGTTTTTGTTTTTAGGGAAATATTCGAATTCTTGGAAAAGGTTGAACAGAGTGCGACCGACGCTTTATCTGTCGTGAATAATTCTACACCTCAAACTACACCTAAGTAAGTGTTTCTAGTAAAGCTTTTAAAATTACATATATATTTGTGTGAAAAAATGCATATGCTTAAATCTGCACCAATTTTAACTGTTTCTTTGTTAGATTTGCTGTCTTTGTTCTATGTTTTTATGCGAGATAATTCATACAAGCGTCTGCTAGAGCTGTAATCTTGATAAGATGATGACGGAATGAATGAAGAAAAGATGAAGGAAGAAAAGAAAGGATGTGTGCAGACCGCATGAAACATTCCCATAACGTAGAAGTTGTTGAGGTTCCTTCTATGTTATATTTTTAACTAAAACAATCGAATCTGATGGTTTTAATTAGTGTACTACCATTAACTGAGTTTAATAATAACTGCTTACAGATTGGAGGTGCTCTTAAAGCTACCTCACACGGAGCTAGCGCAAAGATTAGTGACGGCTTCGTTGCAATTAGAGGAACGATCATGCTGCATTGCCCTTCTGCAAGAGAGTCTCGCTAATCACAAACAGCAGGTAGAATTTAAATTGATTACAAACTATATGCTTTTAAAAATAATGTGTTTGTACATTAAGACCTCTTTGCCTCTTCAGATGATTACGAAAGTCAGCAACTTGGAGAAGCAGTCGCAGCGTAACATCATGAAAGTGAAGCAAGAGTGCGAGGATACCATAAAACGCCACCAGAGTTTTATAGACCAGGTAAACTCGTTACTGTGATAGATCCAGTCCATCCATGTCTACTCTATTTATGACCTCGATCGGGGGAAGTACAGTGACATTACAAAAAGTCAGGCGTAAAGTTTTATATTGTACAGTTTATGTAAACTTATTTTGTTTCGCCTGGTAATTTAGTTGACCGGAAACCTAAACTTGGTTTTCAGCGCCCCAACGCCGATGGATGGAACTGATAACTAAAAATCATTTGAAGCAAATGTTTGTTTGCACAGACCATTCGATGGTCATGATTTATTTTCTATGTTAGTCATTTAGTGTTGTAATACTTCAAATCCTATAGTCGTAACAAATTTGCGCCTTATCCTTTACGCATTAATCCATACATCAATTTTGCGAAACACAAGGTCCTTTCTTTTGTTCAACATAAACTCGTCCAGCCAAGCTATATAATCCTTTATATGATTACAAATGCATAATCTATCATTATTATGAATATATATCCTATAGAGTTGCGAAGCTAATGAATTCAACCTAGTAGCTTTATCCCTGACACGAACGTTTGTATGATACATACATGTATAATCGTTCTTAATTTGTGTGTCCGTCCGTGGGAAATTTTTTAAACCATTCGTTCAAAACAATATAACCTAATAAGTAATTATCCGTTTCTATCACTAAATATAAAGCAATGTTTGTTTTAAAACGAGGAAGACATCTGTTCGCTTTCAACTGCAGCTTATAAACGACAAGAAGACCCTGAACCATCGCATAGAGCAGTTGGTCGACGAGAGGCGGTCATTGGAGGAGCGATGGAAGCGGTCCGTCCAAAGTATGGAGGAGCGATACAAGTTGGAGCTGCGAAATCAACACGACAAAATGGCCGCCGCGCAACAGGCCTGTCTTTTAACAATCAACATTTCGACACTTCCGTTTCAAAACTTAAATGCGCTCGAGTTAAGTTGGATCCGCGTGTACAGTCGAGCTCAAAATTGAGTTATCACTGAATAAAACTTCTTAATACCCATAAGACATGTTCACAAAACAACTTTGTGCGCTATTGTATACAAACGGCCAGTGGGAGCGTGGGTAAAGTTTTTGCTTCACGTATTAATATAAAGATAACCATGATAAGTATACATTGGAAATAACTGGACACCGTTGTTTTTTTAAAAAATCTACCGAAACGTCAGCCAAATCCCCAATCGTGCAGGCTTCATCGTTTTTGGCGACACGCTCATCACTTATCACGTCGTTCGCAGAGCTTGTCGCTTTAAGATGGGTACTAAAATACGTGCATACGTCTCTATTTCTCAAACTTATTATTTTTTATGTGAAAAGTTGCCAAACGAGCAGACGGTTCACCTGATGTTAAGTGAATACCGCCGCCCAAACAAATCTGCTACAACCGAGGGTTTGCAGATGCGTTGACAACCTTTTAGGAAATTGGGCTCCGGCCACCTCACTCACCAGACGAAACGAAAAGGATTATACTTCCACTTTACGCCGGTCTTCTGTGAGGTCGTGGTACTTACCCGGACGAGCCTGCCCATTCGTGCAACAGCCGAGGCTGTTGCGTGGCCCGGTACCACCGTTAACTTATATTTGCGTCACCAAGTATATTTTATGTCCTAAGTGTTTTCTCAAGCTTATATAGAAATAAACCTGGCTCTTCTTCCCAATTTCGCATTTCTTATCCTATTTTTTTTATTTACATTTTTGCAATTGACGTTTTATGTAAAGTAGTGTAATTGTTCCATGGAAGTGTTTTTTTTTAACTGACACATTTTCATACATTCATTTATTTATTTCTTTGCTTGTGATGGTAGATGCGGATTTCTATGACTTTTTTATGATTATCTTCTGCAGTTGGCTTATTAAAGCTTTAGTTATGCGCTTCAAGACCTTTTGTATATCATTCGCCCCCAGAATCATTGTATCTAACGCAGCGTTCCATTTCATCGCACCGATTACAGGTGGCGAGGCAAAGATGGGTCCGCCAGAAAGCTGAAAAAATTAAGGTGAGTCGGTAGTCTGTTCAACGACGAACAACAAATGCCATTGAATTTATTACGCATTTCAGCCAGTATATATGTTTGTTGTCCACGTGTATTATTGTAAAACGTCGTCACAACACAGTATATTGTAATCCTACAGTACCGGCATTTAAAAAAAAATGTTGCGTCAAAATAATGAATCTTTTTCATAAATAAGTGTATGTGTTTGTGAGGGCATGTGTGCGTGTGTCGTCATTTGTATCTCAGATTCACTTCCACCGCCAGTTGCGTTTGGGACCAAATAAGCTACGGAAAAAGTTAGTAATAAGTTTCAAAGTGTTGATTAAAATTAATACATGAAAACGAAAGAATAAGGGAAATTAGTAGTTTTTGTGTGAAAGAGTAACAAACATCCATACATACAAACTTTCGCGTTTATAATATTAGTAAGGATGCAGCTTAAAAGCTTTTATAATTATTACAGGAGCTTACGGTAAAGGGTTTGGAGGGAGAGCTCCGCGAAATGGCTGAGCGTCAACAGAAGGAAATATCGGATTTGAAGATGGCGCATGCAGAGCTGATGGGGAAGACGCAGGCCAAGCATACGAATGAGTTAGAAGAGCTTAGAAGAACACTAGAGCAGGAGAAAGAAGATGCTCTGATAAAAGAGAGGCACCTGGCCAGCTCAAGGTTACCCTTGTATTTGCATTATGTCGCCATATTCTTTGATTTTAACCGAACGATTGTTGTGAAATATTTTTTGAATCAACCCTTGGTTCAACTGTTCAGAGACTTGAGCCGTCTAAGTAAAGTACAGTGTGATATTTTTTCATAATTCTCCAGAATGCGCCAGCTCTTTGGAGTATACTGAAATAATACATAGCATTAGGAGCTAGCTAGCTCCTTCCTATTTTCGACGTTACCAATACCGCTATTTGGCCTATTTTGTTTTCATCGTCGACGGTAATGAAAATAGTTACTCGTTTTTGGTCTATCCAGTATTAATTGGATATATTGAAATTATGTTAACCGTAGATCACAGGTTTGTTTTTAACAGACATGTTTATACATTTTCAAACTGAAATATAAGTAAAACTACATAGAAGCTATTCGTTTCGCGATACTTTGCTTCACGGTCATACAACGGATTGAGGCGTTAGACGTCCTAATATCACTGGTGACTTGGGCAACCGTTTTATAACTGTTAATATTGTGTAAGCAAAAAGTGCCCGCGTAAATTTGAGAAATTTTGTAAGAAAAATTTGTGCGTACAATTTTCACGGCGACTGTACTTAGGTTGTCCTTATACAATACTAGCGATCCGCCCCGGCTTCGCACGGGTGCAATGCTGAATGTTTATTTTCGATATCGCAGTAGAAACCTATACAAATATAAGTGTTTCTCTAATATATTATGCATGAATTATACATTTAAACCTTCCTATTCAGTCACTCTATATATTAAAGAAAACCGCATCATGATCCGTTGCACAGTTTTAAAGATCTAAGCATATATAGGGACAAACAGACAGCGGGACGACTTTATTTTAGAAACTCGACTTCGTTAAGATAAATTTGTGCGTACAATTTTCACGGCGACTGTACTTTGTGTGCTATATAGTGGGGCTTACACAATAAACGTAATAAGCTCGACTCCGTTAAGAAAAAATTGTTCGTACACTTTTTGACGGTGACTGTACATAGGCTGCCCTGTGTCGGTTGGCCATACTCAAATTCGACTTGGACTGTACCGGCTGTACTGGTCGTTGCAGGATGGAGAAGCAGATCCTGGAGATGGAGCTGACTTATCAGGAGCAGAGGACGCGGCTGGTGGGCGAGCTTCGGGCGGAGGGCGAACGCGCGGCCGAGCAACTCGCCGAGCGGGATCGCGAGCACAGAGCGAATATGGGTATATTTATTTTTTAAATAAATGTGTGACCAGTGCAAAAAAATAATCGATTGGGACGTATAAAAAAATACTGCGATGATAGACCCAATGGAGACCGTCCCGAATTTCATTGAAATCCGTTTAGCCATTGTGGTGTGCAGTGGGAAAACCACGAAGTGATTTTTTCTTTTGTATTGCGTGTGCGTTTACTCGGATACTGGATTATTTTTTCTTTAACAAACGTTATGATAAACTGGAGCCAATATAGGTCGTTGTTATTAAAAATACAACTAGAATTATTCTTTATTTTTAGTACAAAAAATATGCACTCAAGATAAAATTTAATACGTCTAATTTTTAGACTCTCATTACAAAAAAAATATCAATGTTTTTGTTACTATTTGTCTAAAACGTAAAACTCTTTTTTGTCTCTTAAAATCTTTCGCAGTCTCTGTCTGTTGACTCTTAATATCTCAAATTTCAGAACGGTGGAAGGTAGAGCAAGAGAAGATTCTAGAAGAGAAACGCAAGCAGTTGGAGAAAGAAATATCTGCTGAGAAGGCGAGGATGGAAGTAAAAGAAATTTTTAGTCATCTAATTCTTAAACATCAAGCTGTTTATTTTTTTTTGTAATTAAATTAAAAATAATTTAATAGCACTCGAAATATAAGGGAACACTTAACTTTGTGTGACAATAAAAAAAGGTACAAAAAAACAAATTAAAATGTAACCTTTAATAACGTAATAATAACAACATTACGCTATAATATATATCGTTATAGTTATTTAAGCAATATATATCTATCTATATGTTTATTTTTTATTTATAAACCCAACCAGACGAGAAAACAAATGAATATCCCCACAACATTACGCTATAATATATATCGTTATAGTTATTTAAGCAATATATATCTATCTATATGTTTATTTTTTATTTATAAATCCAACCAGACGAGAAAACAAATGAATATCCCCACAACATTACGCTATAATATATATCGTTAATAGTGCCTGTTGTATGCACATAATAACGAGTCTGCTATAAAGCCACAGTAAGTTGCAGAGTCGATGGTTCATAGAAGTGATTTAACGATATCTTATTAAAAGTTGCTTTGCCTATATTTTTCTTAATTTCGCTCTACCTATGTACAAACGTTTATAGTTATTATTAAAACACAAACAGAAACTTTATATCCTGTGGCTTTTTCTAACAGTCAACCAGAATTTTGGGTGAAAGAAGCCCCCTTCAATTAATTTATAATTTTATTAATTTTCTTGTATGTTCAAAAAAAAGTAAAGTAACAGCCTATATATGTCCCACTGCTAGGCAAAGGCCTCTATACAGAGGGTATCAGGGCATAGTCCTGGACTTCTTACCTTGCAAATTTTTTTTTGTTATTATTTCGAGGAATATGCAGGTTTCCTCACGATGTTTTCCTTCACCGCGGAGCGCGTGATAAGTCAGCACTTAAAGTTAAAAACTTCATTAGTGCCGGCACCGGGAATCGAACTCAGGTTGCTCGAGTATATTGAATTAAAGCGCGAGCACTCGGACACTGAGCTATCACTAGAATGGTCATGTATAAATATTTTAAAGGCTTCGATAAAACTTCATTCTTTCATCATTACAAATTATCATACATTATTCTCACCTCTTCAGGAGCTATTGAAAGTCAAACGGGCCGAGTTGGAGGAGGAATTTGAGCAGCGCAGAAAGGAGTTGGAAGCAGAACAGCAGGTGGCGCTCAAGAAGAGGGTGACGGAGATATCCGCGCAGCACAAGATGGAGCGAGACAGGGAGATAGAGAAGGCCATAGAGAGCATGGAGGCGGAAGCTCAAGCCGGCAGAAGAGAGTTACAGGAAGCTCTGAAGTAGGTGTAAGAGTGATGTATTAGAATTTTATAATGTTTACTCTGTTAAAATTGTATTAGACTCTTATTTTGACAATTTTTTTTTCTTCGATGTCTTCTTCGCCATGGTTGCTGCTTTACTATCCCTCTAGACATTTGTATGCCATATACCTTACAATACCTTACAATAGATAAATGTACATTTTTTTAAATTAATACGGTGTCAAGCGAGCTGGCGGTTCACCTGATGTTAAGTGAATACCGCCGCCCATGGACATCTGCTACACCCGAGGGTGTAGCATCTGCGCGTTGACAACCTTTTGAATATTGGGCTCCTCAATCACCAGACGAAACGCGAAAGTATTTGTCACACCTGTCGTGGTATTTAACCGGACGGAACAGCCCATACGTGCAACATCGAAGACGGCAACTTTAGCGCGACCAGTCGCAGGGCCGCCTTGGCTGATGTACTAAATGACCCTTAAAACAGACAGACAGACAAACGGACGGGAATCTATAACGTGTGACCAATCGGCCGCAGGAGGAACAAGGAGCAATACGAGGCAGAGCTGAGGGAGCTGGCCGAGACCGAAGGGGCGACCCTCAGGAGGTACCAAGAGGCGCAGGCGCGCATCAGAAACACAGAAGGCCGATGTACGTCCTGCATCCTTATGTATTTTGCTATCATGCACATATCGAGAAACATTACCCTCCTTCGGCAGTTGGATGATGGTTTATATAGGTAGGTATAGACAGAGTCCTTCGGAATTTCTTGCGCCTGTTTCTTCTCCGTTATAGGACCCTCATTACGAAACGGTGGTGGATTTTAGTGACCTTTTTGATTGACTTTCGATAGATGAAATGTACGTGTGTATGTGTGTACGTGCGTGCGTTTGTATGAATTAAATTTATGTGTGTCTAATTTCTCTTTCTTTGGCATACTATGCAGCGTATACCTATTGACGCATTTCAAATTATGAGGTGGCGCTAGTTCTCGTCTCAATATTTTTTTTTTATGTGAGAAGTTGCCAAGTTGTGGGAGGGACACAGACATAAATCTAATATAGTAGATGATTAGTTACTATTTTTGTTTCATTCGATAATTTGTTGCTTGTTAAAAGAATAGATGATACACAAACAAGCGGTTTTCATGATGCTCTGTGATATAGTTAAAGTTAAACGGCTACAAAGTTACCCTATAACCTTGTTGTTAAACCGTTTCGAAGTTTCGCTCGTTAATTGCAGGCGCGGAACTGGAGGTGTCCATAGGACAGCTGGAGACGAGGAACAAAGTCCTCACTGAGGTAAGAAACACCTCACTCTTTTAAAGTCGAAACCGTCTCGGAGTGAAAGTCGATACTCTCGTTCCGCTCAGATTTGTATCGACCACTTCGAAGGTCATTGCCACCGACTCGTGTAATTACCGGCTGATTTTTAACTTTGCAATTGGATGCGAAAATGAAAACGTCATCTTTATAATAATTCTAGAACTAGTTATTATAGAACCATTATTAGTTCTTTTGAGGAATAAGTACGTTTTAATGCTGTTCATGATTTTTGATCAATTAAATAAATAAAAATATTGATATACTTTAATATAGAGCCCGTAATTTTGTTAAAGTATTCGCAATAATGAGTTGAACGTAAACTCGATGTGTTAAATAATGTAAATTAACAAATAATATGTGACAATATTTCCTTATAACTAACTAATAGCTTGAAAGACTAAATAAGAATTAAATCCAGACACAAGCTTTAGTGGTGCTAAAAGAGATTCAATAATTTTAGAAACTGACGTTAGCTCAGGCTAAAACATTAGGGCGTATAGCGCCTCAGTCAATCCCGTTGCTATAAATGCTGCAATATATACAAAACGTCTGAAATTCAAGTTATGCAATTTACGACAGTAAAAGGGATTATTTGGGTTAAAATAAACCCGAATAATCCCTTTTACTGTCGTAACGCCATAAATTCCACATAACACGCATTAAACTTGGCGAAAGTCAGACAAGTAAAATAAAATTAATGTTTTCATTGAAAAAAGAAACTTGTTTAAAAGTTTCTTATAAAGAATGTATGACAATGCCATCTATTGACAGGTATGAAAAACAGCGAAGTAGACTTAAAAACGTTTCTCTTCAAAATTGAAACCTTTTCATTGATAGATACATACTTATTATCAATTTTCGGTGATTGATCACACGAAAATCTGACGAAAATGTCACACTGGTCCACTAGTATAATAATACTTAGTTAATTAATAACTACTTAGTTATTCGCCAATTCCAGAGGAACATACAGCTCGAGTCGAGTTTGGATGAGACGAGGAAGAGATGCGAAGAGCAGTGGCGCGGTAAAATCGAAGCCTTGAACAAGCAAATGACCGATATGAAGCAGACGCACGAGGAACAGATGCACCAGCTATACGCCAAGTGAGTGATGACCTTGACCAATGACATTTCATACCACAGATACGTTGTTAAACAAAGAAAGAGCCAGCAACTAAGGTTAATACGCGAACGAGAGAGATGGACGCACCTCGAGATTTAGGCCCGTCATCCACCAAAGCGAAAACACATTTCAAAACACATCTCCTCTCGTCTGGTTGATTACGGGCCTTAAAGCGAAATTGATAAACATTTGCGGTCCTCTTTTTTCCTATTGCTTTAATTACGCTATCCTTTTCATGCCGTTCGCACGAAACGTGTGAATGTGCGCTGTCACTATGTTTGGCAATGGGAACACTTGACTGGCGGTTTTGTACTCATATCACATATCTGTATTATAAAATATGATGAAGACCTTGACACTAACTCTTTTGTCGACTACCGCATGCATGTTTAAAACTCAAATAATATCAGATAAATCTTGAACATCGACTCTTGGAAAGAGACAGTCGTCTAATTCCGGTTTCGTAGAGCGTTCTCTCTGTCACACACTCTATGTAAATGCCCTCGTGCGACAGAGATAACGCTCGGATATATATTTCATATAGTCAGTTTTCTTCGGATAGAATATAAAAATATATTAATTTAGTCTGTTTTTCTTATAAGAAAACTGCATTGTTCCTTGTTAATTACTATAAGTTGTTCGTTAGTATAAGTAAAAGACATTCTAAGAAAGAATTTGGACGTATTAAATATTTCATCGGTAGAGTAATAGACAATGACGGTAATTTCGTTTTTATCTACATAATAATTACAATATTACTTGAGTATAATATTATTTCTGACATAAAATTTTTTTTTTCAATAAATTTACTTTACGCCTTTGCATTTCATTGTTACGTTTTTATATTTATTTATAGATTATTGTATTGAAGTGTCCAATTTACAAATTAATTTGCAGGGTGAAAGTCGCAGTAGCGAGAAAGGACTCGGCAATCCAAGCACTCACGAGGGAGGCTGGAAAATACCAGGAGAAGATAACACTTCTAGAACAAAAACTGCACCAGCAGAGGAGAGATTTCTTGAAGCAGAAGTGATGTACACCTCTAGCATTATTAGGGCTGGCTTTTACCCAATTATTACGGCAAAAGTGCAAGAATTGATCATTATTTTAGATTTTATTAAAACTAGTTCAGTAGTTCTTAGAGAATGCGTTAACGCTAACGTTGTCATTTATAATTTGTCACTAATACAATAATTTATAACAACGCGACAGAAGAAAAATTTTAACTTAACTACTTAAAACTCATATAACAAATCACAGTATAAATTGGTTTTTCATTAAAAAAAAACCGACTTCAAATATCATTGAAATTAATACTTGATCACATGGAAGCTAACACGATTGGATCTGGTTTAAAACTTATTTTTAAAATCGGTTCGTAAATGACGATTTGATTTGACAAACATAAAAAAATATAGTTAATTAATTGAATACTCCTTTTTGTTAAGTCGGTTAAAATTGTCGGTATTAAAAAAATAACAAGAATTTTTAATGCGGCGGTTGGTAACATTTCCGAATCTCTCGTGTGGTGTGCACAGTTTCCGAAAGCTAGAGGACACCGTAAAGAAAACATTTTTCTACAAACGCGTAATCCAATCGTATACGGTACTTGTTTAATATTCGCCGAAATGCCTAAACTACGAACTACGAACATACCTACGTTTTGCGAAGATTTTTTTCTTGTACAGAAACTCTTGCACTAATTGTCCTTTCGGACTGTGCAACTTCGGGACAGTTTTAGTTGGGAAATGGTCGCGAAACAATTAGCTGCCCTACAACTACGATTTTATTCCTCATATAGATTCAATATAGTTTTTGCAAGGGCCGTGATAGCTCATACTCCGGGGGCTCGCTTTTAATTCAATATACTCGAACAATGTAAGTGCAATCGGCGCTGGCAACATTGAAATTGTTAATTTTAAGCGTTGACTCATCACCCGCTCAGCGGTGACGGAAAACATCGATAGGAAACCTGCGTATTTTCTCCGGGCTCCGGAGATACTTAGGGAGCTACGGAAAATCAATTATAAAATTAATACAGAGCGAGATATTTGAATTCGGTTTTCTTTTTTGTTTATAAAAATGGACTTTTTCTAGAGAGGATACAGGCACAGTTAAATTTTTAATTTATTCAAAAACAAAAAAAGAAAAAAAGGCACAGTTACTTTTTATCGAACTTAATAAGGTATTAATTTCCATTACCACAGTTTGATTTTCGAGCTAACAAAAAACTTTTTTCGATAGAGAAAAATTACTAATGAAATAATCAACACGCAGAATTATCTGCTCACTCACAGTTTTCGAGATATAAATTATTTAAAACTTGTTATTTTCACTACGAAAATCTGCCATTTTACTAAGTGGACTTCAAAAACTCAATATACAGTACTGCCAATATGATAAATATAGGTAGGGAGTGACGACTCGTATCGATTAAACTTTTTTTTTTAAAAAATAATGAGTCACAGATCCGACACAGAGCACCCCGACTCCATGTGGTCTTGTGGTCCCTACCCCTAGAGGGAACATAAAAAGGCGGAGCCAGAACCTCGCGTCGGAGGTCCTAAGTGGGTGAAGCGACACTCAGGGGCGACATGGCGAGTGTTCTGGCGAAGCACGTGGAGGAGTCAAACTTAATAATGAAATAATAATTTTTGAATATTTATTTTGTATTAAATAAAAAATTAAAATTTATGAAAGGTGAATACGGTATTTCGTATGTAAAAAGAAAACAACTTCGTAATTTTAATAAACAAATTAAAGAAAAATTCTTCTTGATATATAAAAATGTGCAATTACGAAAAAACCTATCAATTTGAGTTATATAGACAGTTAGATAGAGTTTAACTTAATTTATCTCAATATTAAAAAGATTTTATAAAATTTGTAATCGAGTTCCGAAATAGATATTAGCATATCGGCTGTATTAATATTTATTACCATCGTATATTAAATTAAAAAAAAAAGTATTTCCCGCTTTATTCTACCGCTATTTTCAATTTCCTATTAATACTTAATATTCGTATTTGCAATGGCGGATAATATGTGCGCGTCAACTAGTTCTAGTGAATTATGTACATATTGTAATTTAGATTTAATTTCTTTTTGTAAAATTATATTACATTCTCAATTAGATCCTTTAATACTAGTCAATTTTTTGTGTCGTCATGGAGTTCTTGTAAAAAGTTTTAAATGTTTAAAGTGTGGAAAAGATTGTGTTTTTGATTTACAACGGAAAGTTTTTAGATGTAATAATTAAACCGAAGACGAAGAAGCGTCAGTGTAACAGTACTTTTAGTATTTTTAGAAACTCTTTTTTTAATAATGCCAGAGTATCCCTTGGAAAAAAAAGTATGTGAATTTGTTAATATGTACTTGCGTGTCGCCGTTCGCGGCCGCACAACTATAATGCTTAATGAACTCCATATTTCCTCAAGAACGTATGTCGATTGTGCGAGCTATATGCGGGAGGTTTTTATAGATTATTTGATTCGAAATTCTCGGCCAATTGGAGGAAATAGATGAAGCAAAGTTCGGTCGCCGCAAGTATAATCGGGGCCGAATTATTATCCATGGCCAATGGGTTTTTGGCGGCGTCGAAAGAGGAAATAAAGCAAATCAGTTCTTTGTCCCAGTGGTTCAAAGGAATAAAGACACGCTTTTAGACGTGTTAAAGAAATACGTGTTGCCGGGAATTGTGATTCACAGTGATTGTTGGAAAGCATATGAAGATTTAAAAAATGAAGGATTCCAACATTTCACTGTGAATCACAATCTTTACTTTGTAGACCCAGTCACTGGCGCTCACACCCAAAATATTGAAAGGCTTTCGCGGGATTTGCGTGCAAATGTGCCTCAGTACGGTCGCCGTGAAGCTCACTTCATTGGCTACCTGGCTGAGGCGCGTTTTCGTACCATTTTCCCTAAACCTGGTGAGCGCTTTCACCAATTCTGGAAGGCTGTGAGCGTCCTCTACCCGCCAATGGTATAAAAATGTGAGTATTTTTTAAAAAAAAATCCTTTAGTCGCTTTATATCTAACATGTTGTCAACAACAAAATGGCCGACTTTCTTAGTGAAAATTTTAGAGTTTGAAATAATTTTTTTTCACGAAAACTATGCGCGACCAGATAATTCTACTTGTTGTTTATTTTTTTACTGATTTTTCTTTATCGAATAAAATTTTTTTTTAGATGATAAATCACACTGTGGTAATGGAAAATTTTACCTTTAATAAATTTGTTGTTCTCTTTTGATTATATAGCGTTGCATGAGTGATGTATTGATTATTGCACTTACTTAGGAAAACCCTGTAAAAAAATAAAAATACCAGCTAAATAATGGGACTAGCGAACTCTAAACGAGTCAATGCGTCGACTCAGTATTATTTGGATACTCTTTAATCCATTATAATTTACCGAATAAGAATTATGCACAAATTATTTTTAATTGGCATAATTTATTTTAGACATTTGTATCGCTTATTGTTTTAATGTTATTAGAGATAAGATGCTAGTTTTAATTTAGAAATAAGGTTTTGTTGAAGCTTTCTTGACGAAATGTTAAAATTAGGTTTGTTTTTATTTATTTCATTTACCGCCTAATTATTTATTACCATCTTTATTTATGAATGTAATTATAACGGTTGTTTATTTAAAAGTGCTCGACTGTAAATTTGTTTCAATTTTTACTAAATTTTGTTAAATGTCATGCTGTAATTAAAGGAATATTTTCAACTATCTTTTCTTTTACTTTCTTGGTACATGTTTTGCAAGCTTACTACACATTTCCCTACTGGAATCTGGGGTAACAAAAATTTTCTTCGTTATAAATTAATTTCGGTCAAATATTATTTTATTGTTTTCGTATTACTTTAGTTGTTTTGAACGTTTTTCAAAGACAAAAACACAACGAACGTTGTTTCGAACGTTTTTCACAGGCGAAAAACGTACCTTAAGTATCGTACTTCTACATATCTTAAGCGCAGTGATTAGCGCTATAAAATAATTAAAAATTTCATATAGTAATGGTGATATTTGTTAAAGCATCTGGGCGCGAATCCGGAAGAAGTGAGTTCGATGGCCACAGCAGCGAAAAACTTTTCGTATTTTTTCTACAAATTTTAAAAGTGAAGTTCACGAAATTAGACTTAAAGTCAAAAAACGTAAAGTACCAGGCTATAAGTCCCACTGCTGACCAAAGACCTCCTCTGTACAGAGGGTATTTAATAAGAGCATAATCTACCACGCGACCCCATTGCGGATTGGCGGACTTCAGATTTCTTCAAAATTTTTTTTGTTATTATTTCTAAAATATGCAGGTTTCCTCACGATGTTTTCCTTCATCGCTGAGCACGTGATAAGTCAGCACTTAAAATTCAGTAACTCATTTCATTGGTGCCTGCACCGAGGATCGAACTCAGGTTGCATTGAATTAGAGCGCCCGGCTATCATAATTAGAATTAACCAAAGAAGATTATGTAGAATATACATATTTCAATATTTTTACAAAACAATACACGCATACAATTGTTTTGACTGTGATTGTGCTACAAGGGGACTTTTGCTGCTGCCATAACGTAAAGGTTTATAAGGGGAAGTACCACAGCTACTCAGAAGACCAGCGCATACAATTATTCTTTTATTTTTACGGTCATTTATTTTTATTTCAACGCTTCGGTGATCGAATTAATAGATTATTCGATGTGTGGATATTTTTACGTGAATTTATCAAGAAGGGTGAAATGGGAACCTATTACTAAGACTCCTCTGTCTGTCCGTCTGTCACCAGGCAGTACCTCTTGAATCGGGATAGTTAGTTAAAATTTTCCCCGATGTATTTCTGTTGCCACTATAACAACAAATACAAAAAAACAGATCAAAAAAATTGGCTACAGACATGACCGTTTTTATAGATAATGGTATGGAATCCTTCGAGAGCGAGTCCTTGCTTTTGCTACATGAATATTATTTTTGGATCGGTTTCGGCAAAGTACATAATCCCGTACTAATAGTACATGGCTAAGGTATAACCTGCCTCGTAAAGGAGAATTTTAGGAGACAGTGGCCTGAAGGGGAGAACAGCCAATTTTTTAGAAGTGCGGTAGGACCACAATCTTCTGTTGCACGAATAGGCAGGTCCGTCCACGGACCACGGAGGAAGTACCAATACCTCACAGAAGACCCCCTGTGGTGGAAGTGCTATACTTCTGCATTTCGTATGGTGAGTGAGCTGACTGGGTCACACTGGGTGTTGCAAGCGTCCATGGGCGGCGTTTATCACCTAACATCAGGTGAACCGCCATCGCACTTGCATTTTCTTACCTTAAAAAATGCTAAATGGTCTCGTGTTACCGCCATAAGGGATCTAGGGAATCCTTAGGGGCGTACTCGCGTGCATATGCTAGTGCGATTCGTAGTATCTCGGAGCCTCTCAACGTACTAAGGTTTGCCCCCAAGTGATTAAGTTTTTCTGTTAGTAATAATTGAGGCGTAAAGTATTTAAAAATGTGTAGAGTCAATCGCTAAAATATAGTGAAAATGCCGAATGTAATTCTTAAAAGTATAAAAAGTAATTATTACCATTACTTTAAATCAGTAGATTATTAACACTCAATGCGAAAACAATACGTTTCGAAGGTTACTATGTATCTCGGATAAGCATTCGCACTTTGTTATTGTATTAGCAGTAACAGTTAACGTTACTTTAATTGTTTATCTGGGCTAGTAAACTAAAGTTAAATATTATATAGTAAGTTATTGAGCACGGCCGTAAGTGTGCAAGGATACTCATGTTAACTATTATTATCGGTTGCCTAGTCAGTTACTAGATATCTATAGTTAGCGAACCAGTTTGACAGAAAACTCAGTATTTACATTACATTCAGATATTTGCATTTCCGTATGAAGTATCGATTAAGTTTGTCAAATGACCTTTCATTTTAACATTACAATGATATGTTATTAGAAACTTCGTTCATTTAATGTGATAACAATAATTAATACTTTAAATATCCATTTTTCATTTTAATTTTGTTGTCAGATAGATTCATGGATACTCGATTAATTATAATTACTGCACATTGCACTAGTCTTAGATTAATTTTATTACAACAAATTTATTTTCCTTGCAATCTATACGTGATGGTTTTAGAGGTAACACGGGACAAGGGACAGGAACACAAGTGAAGAAGATAAAAAAATATCTTTTAATATAACACTTTAAAAACGTATATACCGATCAGGTAAATTAGTTAAAGCTGTAGATAGCAGTTTGCATATAACAACACGTACCCTTAAACACTAAACATTTCAACAACTTACAAGTATAGTTAAAGCTATAATACGATTGAGACCAAGGTTACCGGGGGTTGTAATGCCGAACACCTGAACAAATGTGCCTTTATGATTGCGTCATACGTTTATCACAATATATAACAAAACAGATAAACTTCGGTCCTTTCTAAAGCTCGAACATAGCACCTTTAGATAAGTTTATACAGTTGGTAATTAAATAATTAGTTATCAAATGGCTTATTCCACGCCAATTGAGTTGCCGAAAGGAAGATTAAACACTTGGATTCAAAGTCCATTTAAAAAAAACAATTTGATTTCAGAAACCGGGCGTTAAACTTCCACAACGATTGTCCATTGGCGATATACTGAGAGGGCTTCGGAAGAATTATCCATACTGACGTATAAATGGATGAGTTAAAGAGCGTTAAGACCGTATAACTCTCATTCCTCAGATAAGCACGAAAGTTTGACATAATTATAGTGCCAATATTTTTCATTTGCCCTTGTTTTAGTGTTCGATACTTTTGGACTGTTTATATCTTAACTATGATTAGTTCACCAGGGTCGCCACATCTCCGTGCTCGAGGAACCCTGCTCGGGCGATTTCGGTCTTCCCTCGCCCCCCTTGCTCTCCGCGATGTGGGCTCGCGAGGTGCTCGACTGGGCCAAGGACTCCGCCGTATGACTTATAACTGAGCGCTGTAAAAGACTCGGCGCTTCCACCGCGGCTGGAACAGTCCTCGGCAGGGATAACTTCCTTTGCTGCGCTCCCGCTATCCGTGTGAAAGCGGAAACTTTGTCGGGCCCGTCCAGCACCAGTCTCTTGTCAGATGGTAACTTTTCCGGGCTGGGAACCCCCCGTTGGGGCTCCAATCGGATGACTTTCGGCGCGGGGCCCACCGTTTCTGAGGGACGCTTCAGCCTCTGCCGCATCGAGTAGTCGACCGCCCGCTTCGGCGACGCGTCGATACCTATCTTGTAGTTCTCGACGTCTATCACGATGGACAGCGGCTCCATTGTGCGCTTGCCCCTCGCCTCCTGTTGGCTTTCGGGCGAGACGGTTGTCGAGGACACGATTGATTTCTGCTCGGGACTGGAGTCCTGGTCGGAGGCGGCGTTGCTAGGCGGCGTCGGGAAGGGGAACGCCTGCACCGGCCGCGGCGGCGTCTCCAGTTCTGTTGAAGAGTCGCAGGCGGAGTCGCACGAGAGCGGGCTCAGCGGCGGGCTGGTCGGCCTCGTCGAGCGCACGTAGCGGAACGCGCTCGGCCGCTCGTCCAGCCTGAGCGGGTCCGGGATCAAGGGCGGCCGGTCCGGGTGCAGCCGCTCTATGCCGGAGAGGCAGGAGCTCAGGTGGTCCCCCAACCGGTACCTCAGGCCGGTCGGCACGTTGGCCAGCCGCGATAGATACCTGCGCACCTCCACGGCGCAGTCCCCGAAGCCCGATTTGAACCGGTGCAGCACTTGCGGGTCGGCAGCGATGGCGGCCGCCAGCTGCTGCCTTTGCAGCGTTTGCAGGTGCTTCACGGTCATTTCCAGGATGTCCGCCTTCTCGAGTTTCGAGTGACGCGCCGGCTGCAATGGAAGACGGAATCATATTCGTTTCGCGTTTTTAATGTTTTTGTTTTTATTGTTTTTATTTTACTGTAGGTTTTATTGTTCTTAACGAAGGCTAACGTAATATCATCGGTCAAGTCATAGTTGAACGACCCAATTGGCGTAGTGGATAGCATGTTGCGCCAGAAGGTGTGGGTTCGACTCCCACTAATCGAAAAATGTTGTGAGAGAACAGTGTTTTTCTAACCTCCGGGTGTTTATATATCTTTAATTTGTATTTATTTTTACAAAAAAAAGTACTATTATTAGTATATCTATTATCCATAGTACAAGCTTTGCTTAGTTCGGGACTAGATAACGATGTGTAAAAATATGTCCCGGAATATATTTATTATTATTACTTGGGCTAGAAGAGTTCGAATTTTTAAAGAACGTACGAATGTCTTTTTTGCTCGACAAATCTACCATCAATTATACAACTACATAATTAATTATGTCAAATGTCAAAGTTCAAAAAATGTACTCACATCTTTATCCATGGAGTCCGTAAGTAGCTCCTTTAATTCATTGAGACAATGGTTGATGCGCGCTCTTCGCTTCTTCTCCATAATCGGCTTATTAGTCTGGAGTATAATTAAGATTCCGTTAATATTTCCGACACACATAAGAAACATTTGCTTGCAAAAGCAAACAAAATTCAGTTGGCAAAGAAAAGTAAAAAGTAATTTTATAAAATTTTGAATAAAAAGTCACGAAAGACAACAACTAAATACAATTTATTTTGTGCTCAAAATGGAACATGTTTTTTTTTTTTTTATTATAGCTTTTAACATAAATACACTGTAAACACTATTCATATTGCACGCCACAGAGTACGAACCTTACGGAGTTCGGCCTTTGACATTCCCTGTGTGGGTTCGGACATAAATCCAGATTGGGAGTCATCGTCCTCACTGCACGGCATTTTGTTTACTTGTAACGACGTCTATAAAATTAATCGAGGTCCTCGAGACTCTACGAACTCCTGTTCAGACAACGTCCGAAGGAGTTATGAGAGGTCCCGTACGGGAGCGTAGTATAAAAATTAAAATACGCCCTCCTTCCCGTTTGGTCCTGTTTGTGAAACGCAACTGTAAAATATCCCCATCCCTTTTTAACGCACGCGCTGTCATGGTGGGAACTGTATCGGAATGTTTTGTATTCGTCCTTTCTCGCTCCAATTTTGTGCCAGTTGTGAATGGCGCCAACGATTTGCAACGCAAAGTATGGAAGTTACCGGGTTTGATTCTAGGATACAACGTACACATATTTTTTAAACATGTACATTATATTCTGAATTAATAAATTTGTCTCTTAAAATTAAAGGTTTCAGATTGCTTTTTATTTGACGTATTTATTTTATTATTAAAAAAATTTCATCCCGTTTTAAAAATATGTATTATGAGGAATACATAAAAATTTTCATCTTTTAATAGATTTCATATTTTAGAGATTACATAATTTATTGAACATAAAATACACAATAATTCTAATTAAATGTAAAAAAAAGTAAATAACCAAATTGCTTAATAAATGTAATTAATAAAACGTTACGTACATAAAACATTTATCACGCTTATTATTTTTATTGTTACAACATTTATTAACTACATTAACAAAATTTTAATATCAGCATTTTCGTTAAGATTATTACATTATTATTATGTTTTGAATCCGTTATAATGTATAAATTATACATAACATGTAACTTGAACATTTTAAACGTTTTCAAAATTAAATTCAACTTAATATAAAAAAGAAATGAGTAAAGCTACACTCAGACCTCCCTTATCCTGTTGACTATGGGAATGCACAATCGTTTGCATGCGCATAGCGCAACTAATGTCCTTATTATTTAAACATGTTTATTTAACATTGAACTATGAAACTACCTTTCAAAGTATCGTCAATACTTTAAATAAATACAATTTCTGTTCTATTTTACACTAATGATTTTCAGATTTCTTTTCATTTGTTTACAAAGGTTATGATAAAATATATTTTTAATTGTTTTTTACATATAATTGTAAAAGTAACTTATCGTATCTAAAAGCGATGTACCGTGAACGCTTAGTGAAAAGTATGCGGTATTTTACGGTTAACTGCAGTCGGTTTAACTTGGTACTTATAAAAGCGGTGTGTTCTCACGGTGTGTGGGAATGTAGTGACGCGAGGGGGTGAGTGCGAGCCGGTCGCGGCCGTACCGAAGTACAATGGGTGGTGGGTTAGTTGTTTACCCGGTATTACCTTGATTTTTAAATGTAATGAAAGACAGCCTGCTTACTTTACTTAGAAATGTTTCCCTTTCCACTACACAACGATACGCAATATTTCCTATAATAATCCGTACTTCCTTACTAATATTATAAACGCGAAAGTTTGTATGTATGGATGGATGTTTGTTACTCTTAGACGCAAATACTACTGAATGGATTTTAATGAAACTTTACAATAATATAGCTTACACATCAGAATAACATAGGCTATTATTTATATACATATTTTTATGTATATCTGTCTCTCTGTTACGCCTTCAGCCTATTCTACGCAGACGTAGTCACGGGCAGCAGCTAGTTTCCTATAAGTACGTTACTTTAAGTAAAAATATAACATTAATGTGAAAAATACTTTTGAAGAAATAGCTGCTAATAGGGTCTTTAGATTACAGGGAGATCGTAATACTTATATACAAATTAACAACATAGTTTTTAAACGACTGCTGAAGGAGGATAATGTTTTTCGAGCGCACTATCTTTGGTATGCTCTACAGCCTAAACACTATTACGAATTTCATCATATAAGGTGTCATTAGATTCATCTTAGTTGTAGTGACCAATGGTGTATTTTGATGACTCCGTGGCGCAGTTGCCAAGGTATCTTCGGCATCGGGGATCGTGAGTTCGATTCCCACACGGGTCAACTATTTGTGTCACCCACAGATAATTGTTTCGCATCTGGGTGTTTGTCCGCATGAAATTTATGTTTGTAAAACGTCCCTACAACACACGATAATGTTAAAATTGCCTAAAGTAAGTTGCCTAAATGTCACAAAAAAAAGAATTAAAAAAAATATTATTTCAATATAGTCCGCGAAAATTTTAATGTAGTCTAGTTTTTATTTCATTAATTTACATTATATAAATTTGTATTGACTTAATACTTTATATACTACATACCTATTCATTTAAAAGTTCTGTCGAATAGAATAACAAACAAACCTATTAATGGACCAGGTGTTACAGTGACCTTTTAGCCGCCTCCCTACATACCTTCATTCTATGCGTTATTAATATTTAATTAGGTCTTCACTTTCTCCCACGGTAGTATCATTGAAATTACTAATAATGCATGAATTTTGTCATAAACGCAGAATACCGAATGAACTCTATGTTCTCAAACATACGGCCCTTTTAAATTTTTATAAAAGCATTCTTAAAATTGTCAAAAACATTAACGACCCACATTCGTTCGGTATCGATATGAACTCCTACGTATATTTGAGATAAGGTTCAAATTTGTATGTCGTCTACATCATATGGTTCGAGGTGGTCAAGCCCGTCCGTTTGCAACGATATAGCATGCGATCGCGTGATGATGCTAATGAATGGTGAATAATCGCTGTCAACTGTCATCTGTTGACGTGTTAAATGGCGGGAGCGACGCTGAAGCGGTGAGAACTTTTTTTCTTCGTGTCCCGTTATTGCATCTCGTGATGGCGAGCTTGAATGAAATCGCGAGTGTGTAAACTTGAGCAGAATTTTTCGTTTTTCTCTCTATTACATCTTCTTGTGAATTTCATCTCAGGTAATTTTATGGTCTAGTGAAAAAGGTCCGGATTTTTTCTGACGTAGAAAATATAAGATAATAGTTTTTATTTATATACATAGATGTTGTAGATATCTACTTAATGGCTGATTCCTGATTGACAAGCATCGCTTTGGAGGCATGATAGAGTGAAATTTATCAAGGACAGGTTTCCGATGTAAAATGAAAGTCGAAAAAATGTCGCATGGAAAAATTAAATAATAAAATGTTTTCAAACTACAAACGACTATTTTTGTTTTGTGGAGGAATTATGAACATAAATATTTTAGGACACTTTTTGCACAACGTTGTCTAGTCCCATACTAAGCAACGCTTGTGCTATGGGTATTGGATAATTGATAAACATACTTTTCTTTTGTAAATAAATACAAACTATAAAAATATAAATACCTATACAATGGAAAAATGTTATGTTCATATTTTTCCCGTAGGGGGGATTGAACCCAAACCCTCTTATGCAAGAGGCAGCTTCACTGCCCACTACGCCAATCAATTATGTTTTTTTAATGTTAAAACTTACAGCTGGTAGATTTAATACATTTTTCAACAGTATGGCGTTAGAATTGTATGAATAAATAACTTTTAATGTAAGAGCATAGCATTTATTTTAACAGCTTTAGCACATAATATAGGCTGTTCGGCTTTTGTTGCATGTCGTATGGTTTTTTTATTTAAATATTTCTGTTTTAGATAAACTAGCACATTATTGTTTATTTTTTCATTTGCCTATTAAATAAGACGTAAATGACTTATTTTTAATAAGTACATATAAAAAATGTAGACTAATCAAGTGCCTGTACACGTAAATCATTAACCCAATAAATACTAATAACAGTTTGTTAACAAAAATCTTTTATCGAAGTAATGGTGATTCTCTAACACGGCGTGTTGATGAAACTTCGAAGCGTGAGAACGTTTGTCTGACTGTATCTGCCGACTTCCTTCCTGCCGGATTCATGTTATAAAAAAAAACTGAACTTGAATTAAAAAAATTACAAGTAAACGCCATAGAAGAGAAAAAGTTAGTTATTTTTTATGTAATAACAAGCAATAGAACTGAAACATCTGACTATTTTTTTTTATATTTATTACAGCGCATTGCTGATCCGAATTCTAGTAGGTATTAAATTAATTCCTCACAATTAACATCTCACAATGTTTACATGCATGTTACAATGTTACGTAAATAAGGCACATATTTTTTGCCTCCGCTACACGATTTCCCACGGAGACAGGTGTATATAAAAACTAGCCGCCCTTTGACTATCAGCTCGTTTTTGTGCGCCTATTTTGAAAAAAAAAAAGAGCGCCGTATCCGGCGCTGGATTTCCGGGTCGCAGAGCGATACACAAAAAATTTTATTGTGATGTGATTGATTAATAAATATTAGTAAATATCTGGTAAAGTTAAATTGTTTTTAAAATGGTCAATCCAGAAATATTTAGTTGTTTAATATTCATAAAAAAGCTCATATTTAAATTAAAAATTTAATTTAATTCGAACTTAACCTTTAGTTTTAAATATTATATACTAGCGACCCGCCCCGGATTCTCACGGGTGCATAATACATTAGACATAATATAAACCTTCCTCTTGAATCATTGTAGTAAAAACCGCATCAAGATCCGCGTAGTATTAAAAATCTAAGCATACATAGGGACAGACAGACAGCGGAATTGACTTTGTTTTATACTATGTAGTGATATAAAAAAAATGTTAATGTAAAACGCAACGCGTCTGAACGGTCTTCGGAACCCCCGTTAAAAAAATATCGATAAAAAGACATTGACCGACCTAATTCTTCGTGTTTGTACATATTCAATTTCTCACAAACCCCCTTTTAAACATTTACCTTGTTCCATCAATAAGACGGGCAAAAGGTTCATACGACGTACGGGGCCTGCGTCCCTTTTTCCCACGGCACTGAGTGACAGGTGTGTTCCTCGAACTTCCCTTGCGGCGAACAAGTAATTGTGTAGTTTACAAACTACAACATAAAGTTGATTCTTCTTCGAAGCGGTTTTTACTGTTTCAACATGGAGGACGGGTCAGTGGAATATGGACCGATTAGAAACAACGCATTGCTTTGCAAAAATGAGG